CATCCACGTACACCCTCTGATACATCCATGTACACCCTCTGATACATCCACGTACACCTTCTGATACATCCACGTACACCTTCTGATACATCCACGTACACCCTCTGATACATCCATGTACACCCTCTGATACATCCACGTACACCTTCTGATACATCCACGTACACCCATCCACGTACACCCTCTGATACATCCATGTACACCCTCTGATACATCCACGTACACCCTCTGATACATCCATGTACACCTTCTGATACATCCACGTAAACCCTCTGATACATCCACGTGGTGGCGCTGATGGTGGTGTATGTACAGTTCATCTCATTAACAAGAAAGAGTCACTAACAAAAATCTGGTCACAAAAATTATTTCTCGAATTAAGCAAAATGGCGTTAATGATTACTGTGTTTTTCATGCTTGTGGCTTCTATTTTTAACTACGCCATTAAAGAGGCCACAAACCTCGGCATTAGATTCTTTATGAACTGCCAGCAAATTTCCCACGCGACGTGGGTAACTGATTATATAAACGTCCTGGTTCATTCTCAGTATTTTACTGTTTGCAGACTGTATCTACGTCTTTATAAAGGTCACAAATCTCCGCATTAGGTTTTTTGTGAATTGCCAACATATTTCGCACACGGCATAGGTCACTAAAGTTAAGACTCTCTGGTTCACTCATAAAAGCCGAATTATGTTCAAGTCTGACGTGATTTTCATGTGCCAGGACAGATAAAAAGACATCTTCTATGAAAAGGTGTTGCCATAACGACGCTGCGTGAAGAAGCTTGATGACGTCATAGGAAAGAAGTGATGCGAATCCAGACACGTAAGGCGGATATTTGCTGTCACTGAATTCCTCTCGGGTCTGGAAGTGCTTACTACGTGTATTGCGATCCACAGGGGCATTTACATATTTAAAACCAACGAATAGATTTCCAGACTTTTCTGCCGGACGTCTTGTCAGAAACCGTATGAGACCTCTATAGTTAACAGAGACGTCATGTCCACTTTTTAGGACAAAACGCGTCTTAGGACAGTACTCTTCTACCCAACGAAGTGCGAGAATAGCTTTCAATGTATAGTTCTTGTACATGTCAACAAAATCGACTTTAATTAGATCTCCAAACTGCTCGCTTTCCTGTTCGATTTTTTCCTCTACATGTGGCAGTTTCGAGTTTCCTACAAAGAAGACGGTTTTAATTGATTGCCCCATGTATTCCGGAACGCTTCCACAAGTTTTTCTAAACGTCAGTCTGGACTGGAAATCTCGAGGATCAGATATAACTAAGACAATCAAAAATGGTTCCTCGTCCACGCTGCAAGGGGCACCAAAAATGTACGGATACTTTTTGATATGATACCACAGGTATGGTTTCTTCTGTAGCTTTCCCTCGCATACTGACGCTGGAACTAAACATTCGCTTTCCTTTTTGGGTGTGCAATTCTCGACCCCATCTTCTTTGTGGGTGGAAGTTATAAATAAAAGCAACATAGTTGCTTGAATTGTGAAGAAAACAAACATCAGTCTATCTCGTTTCATTATTCTCCACTTGGTAATATAATCCTCGTCCTAAGCAGACAAACGCTGTGAATTTATATGGCCAATGGCAAAGCACTAAAATAAGCAAAGTGCTTAAAAGGCGCATAGCTGGCAGGTAAGTCTGTATGCAAATTCCAATTCTAGTTGGATAATATTATGAATACTATCACTGGTTATGTTTTATTTTTACGCCTGGCCAATAATGTTGTCACATGTCCAATTTAATGAATGCTTGTTGTTGTTTTGAAGTATCACAGGCGTAAACAGTTTTAAATCGTGCTTTTTTTAAATGATAAAAAAATTTGATTTAATAAAATGAAAAAATATAAAAATCAATAAAACAACAACAACAACAGCAAAATTAATTAATTGATAGCATGATTTTAGGTGAAGAAAAGTAAAATACTGATTTTCTATCATTTCATCCATCCTATCATTTCCATTGGCTAAAATGTCTATAAAATTGAAAAAAAAAACTCCAAATGTCACCAAATTAATTAACAGCATAAGCTTGTGTTATTTTAAAGCCAATAGATACAGATTAATGGATGAAGATATTTGATTCTACTCAAATCTCTTACTTCGTCCGTCCCACGGTCCTATTGTTTTCGCCGCTGTCTTCAGGGTCTCATTCCCTATTTCAATATAATGGCCTTCTCCTGCACCGACCCTGGTAGGCCTTGAAAGTGTTTTATGATGTGCTGGAGTTATTATTTCGTGTAATCAAAGTATTTAATTATAGGGAACTGCAGAAGAAAAATGTCCGAGGCGTTACTGTCAAAGCATTTAAAATAAGGTCATTTATTAAAAGGAAAAGAAAATGCGCATGCATGTGTGTGTGTGTGTGTGTGTGTGTGTGTGTGTGTGTGTGTGTCGGGGTGGGAGGGGCGTAGGACCTGGAAGGGAACCTGACAATGTTGACAGATCTGTAGGAGTAATGTGTTGAAAAATGTAGCTGATAGTCTAGAATGTATTATTATTATTATTATTATTATTATTATTATTATTATTTCAGACTTGGACTTTATATAGTCCCCTAGTAAAAAAAAAGGCGTCAACTCCAACGGGATGCGTGAAGTGAAACAGAAAATCTTGCCTTGAACTTTTTTCACCTTTTAAAGGATTTTTTTTTTTTTTTTTGTCCGTCAGTTATCCAAATCCAAAGATGTGCCGTACATTCTCAATGAGGCTCTTATATGGAGATTTTGCACCTGTGTTTTACAGTTCGTACGGCCCCCAGATTTTGTTGTAGCGGGTCGTGCGAGGTTGTGGAAGTTTAAGTATTGGTTAGTATGCAGGGACTGATCCAGGATTTAAAGGGGGGCTTTTCTTCACCTAAAATCATGCTATTTATTTATTTATTGTTGTTGTATTAATTTTTTGTATTTTATTTCTTTATTTGATTGTAATTTTGAATCATTTTTAGAAAGCCCGATTTTAAACTGTATACGGCTGTGATACTTCAAAACAACAAAAACAACTAATAACAACAGCACCAAAAACTCATTCATTCATAATATTATCCAGCCAGCCCTTCCAGCTATGCGACTTGTCATCGGCAGTATGCTTATATTAATGTTTCACCATTGATCATATAAATTTATAGCGTTTATCTGCTAGGACGAGGATTATATAACCAAGTGGAAATTATGAAACAAGATAGACTGATGTTTGCTTTTTTCACAATTCAAGCAACTTCGTTGCTTTTATTCATAACTTCCATCATCAAGGAGGATAGGGTCGAGAATTGCACACCCAAAAAGGAAAGCGAATGTTTAGTTCCAGCGTCAGTGTGTGTGAGGAAAAGCTACAGAAGAAACCATACCTGTCGTATCATATCAAAAAGTATCCGTACATTTTTGGTGCCCCTTGTAGCGTGGACGAGGAACCGTTTTTGCTTGTCCTAGTTACATCTGATCCTCGAGATTTCCAGTCCAGACTGACGTTTAGAAAAACTTGTGGAAGTGTTTCGGAATTCTTGGGGCAATCGATTAGAACCGTCTTCATTGTAGGAAATTCAAATTTGCCACACGTGGGGGAAAAAATCGTAAAGGAAAGCGAGCAGTTTGAAGATCTAATTAAAGTGGATTTTGTTGATTCGTACAAGAATTATACATTGAAAGCTATTCTCGCCCTTCGCTGGGTAGCAGAGTATTGTCCTAGGACGCGTTTTGTCCTGAAATGTGGACATGACGTCACCGTTAACTATAGAGGCGTCATAAGGTTTCTGACAAGACGTCCGGCAGAAAAATCTGGAAATCTATTTGTTGGTTTTAAATATGTAAATGCCCCTGTGGAACGCAGTCCACGTAGTAAGCCCTTCCAGACCCGAGAGGAATTCAGTGACAGCAAATATCCGCCTTATGTGGCTGGATTCGCGTCACTTCTTTCGTATGACGTCATCAAACTTCTTAACGCAGCGTCGTTATGGAACACCTTTTCATGGAGGACGTCTTTTTATCTGTCCTGGCACATGAAAATCACGTAAGTCTTGAACTTTATTCGGCCTTTGTGAATGAACCAGGACGTCTTAACTTCAGTGATCTGTGCCGTGTGCGAAATATGTTGGCAATTCACAAAAAACCTAATACGGAGATTTGTGTCCTTTATAAAAGCGTAGATAAACCCTGCTATTAAAATACTCTGAATGCACCAGGACGTCATATATTCAGTTACCCCCGTCGTCTATTGTCTACATCAGTGTTATCGCCGTCGCTGGCGTCGCCGTGCATGTGAATGTATAAGAGGTGGAATTCGTTGAGATGAACTGTACGATTTGAAACAGATGTGTGTGTCTTAGGGCGCATTCCCATACATTTTAGATCGATCTATCCCCGTGGGGAGTCTCACTAGATTACTGTCAGATAATCCGGCTTAAATGTCCGTCCCGCCTACTGCAAGTTGTAAGAGGGTAATTAACTTTCGTTCCCGCTCGGCTGACAGCTATTTAGTGTGAACCCCCAGGGAGTTAGGTCGATCTAGTTGGATCGATCTAATCTCTGGGAATGGGGTCTTAGGGAGACCAGTGATTATAATTAGCTTCTCACCAATCGGCCATAAAAGCATAAAATTCTTAACAATTAAAAGATGAGATAAGAGATAAGATGAGAGTTTATTTAACGTAACAACATATTTCATCCCCCCCCCCTCCCCTTCCCCCCAATATATGATAAGCAATAGATAAACCACGAGTCCACGATGAGTGTATGTTTTAAATGCACCGATTCAAACAGGAGACCAATATCGAACGAACATGTTTCCAGATATACCTTTTATTGTTTTGTTGAAAGTTAAAGAAAATTCATAACCATCAGTCTTGATTACAATGAAAGCCGTGTTTTTAATTTATCTCTCTCTAATGATTATATGCCACTACTGCTGTCTATAGTTTTACCTGACATCTTAGCATTGATTGGATTTTTCTTTTCTTTCTTTCTTTTTTTTTTCTTTTTTTTTTTTTTTGCGCTTTGGATACCTTTTTTTACAGTACCGCCATGTATGTCTATACACGTGACATAATACACCCTTATTTGTAAAGAAATTACATCCCCTTTTAAAGAAGGCTCATGCATGCGCTAGACCCAAACATTTACCTCGTTAACGTATATTTTGTTACAATACTTCTTAACGAATCACCCTCTGATACATCCACGTACACCCTCTGATACATCCACGAGGTGGCGCTGAAGGTGGTGTATGTACAGTTCATCTCATTAACAAGAAAGAGTCACTAACAAAAATCTGGTCACAAAAATTATTTCTCGAATTAAGCAAAATGGCGTTAATGATTACTGTGTTTTTCATGCTTGTGGCTTCTATTTTTAACTACGCCATTAAAGAGGCCACAAACCTCGGCATTAGATTCTTTATGAACTGCCAGCAAATTTCCCACGCGACGTGGGTAACTGATTATATAAACGTCCTGCTTCATTCTCAGTATTTTACTGTTTGCAGACTGTATCTACGTCTTTATAAAGGTCACAAATCTCCGCATTAGGTTTTTTGTGAATTGCCAACATATTTCGCACACGGCACAGGTCACTGAAGTTAAGACTCTCTGGTTCACTCATAAAAGCCGAATTATGTTCAAGTGTGACATGATTTTCATGTGCCAGGACAGATAAAAAGACATCTTCTATGAAAAGGTGTTTCCATAACGACGCTGCGTGAAGAAGCTTGATGACGTCATAGGAAAGAAGTGACGCGAAGCCAGACACGTAAGGTGGGTATTTGCTGTCACTGAATTCCTCTCGGGTTTGGAAGTGCTTACTACTTGTATTGCGATCCACAGGGGCATTTACATATTTAAAACCAACAAAAAGATTTCCAGATTTTTCTGCTGGACGTCTTGTCAGAAACCGTATGACGCCTCCATAATTAACGGAGACGTCATGTCCACATTTTAGGACAAAACGCGTCCTAGGACAATACTCTTCTACCCAGCGAAGAGCGAGAATAGCTTTCAATGTGTAATTTTTGTACGAATCAACAAAATTGACTTTAATAAGATCTCCAAACTGCTGACTTTCCTGTACGATTTTTTCCTCAACATGTGTCATTTTTGAGTTCCCTACAAAGAAGACGGTTTTAATTGATTTCCTCAAGTATTCCGGAACACTTCCACAAGTATTTCTAAACGTCAGTCTGGACTGGAAATCTCGAGGATCAGATATAACTAGGACGAGCAAAAACGGTTCCTCGTCCACGCTGCAAGGGGCACCGAAAATGTACGGATACCTCTTGATATGATACCACAGGTATGGTTTCTTCTGTAACTTTCCCTCACATACTGACGCTGGAACTAAACATTCATTTTCCTTTTTGGGTGTGCAATTCTCGACCCTATCTTCTTTGTGGGTGGAAGTTATAAATAAAAGCAACATAGTTGCTTGAATTGTGAAGAAAGCAAACATCAGTCTATCTTGTTTCATTATTCTCCACTTGGTTATATAATCCTCACCCTTGCAGGTAAATGCTATGAATTTATATGGTCAATTGCAAAGCACAAATATAAGCATAGTGCGCATAGCTGGAAGGTAGGCCTGTATGCATAGTTCAATTCTAGTTGGACAATACTTAGAATACCATCACTGGCTATGTATTATTTTTACGCCTGGCCAAAAATGTTGTCACATGTCCCATTTAATGGGTTTTTGTTGTCGTTTTGAAGTATCACAGGCATAAACAGTTTTAAATTGTGCTTTTTTTAAATGATAAAAAAATTTTATTAAAAAAGATAAAAAATATAAAAATCAACAAAAAAAAACAGCAAAATTATTTAATTAATTAATAGCACGATTTTAGGTGAGGAAAAGTAAAATATTGATTTTCTAACATTTCATCCAGGTGTGTACTACAGTGATTTCCATTGGCTAAAATGTCTATAAAATTGAAAAAAAAAAAAACACCTCCAAATGTCACCAAATTAATTAACAGCATAAGTTTGTGTTTTTTAAAAGCCAACAGATACAGATTAATGGCTGAAGATATTGGATTCTACTCAATTCTCTTACTTCGTTTTCGCACTGTCCTATTGTTTCCGCCGCTGTCTTCAGTCTCATTCCCTATTTCAATAATGGCCTTCTTCTGCACCGGCTTTGGTCGGCCTTGAAAGTGTTTTATGATGTGCTGGAGTTGGGGATGACCCTCGACTTGGGCCGTTAGTGCGTGGGACCGGCGCTGGGTTCGGATTAACCATTTTCTCCAATGCTTTTTTTTTTCTACTCAAACTGGCGGCTCGCCAATCCTGTAATGTTCGGTTTTGTATTCACAGATCAAGAAGTAAGCAACAAGAGTCGTGGATTTCCAAACAGTTTTATTTCCAATGCTTTAGTTCTTAACCAGTCCTAAGTGCCTAATCTACACACCACCTGTCCTATTTATATCCAGCACTACGTTACCTGTCTTACTGAAATATAACCTAAAAGTTAAGATATTGTTTGATCTCGCGAGACAGGTGTCACAAGAGGCGTTCGAGGTGTCACAAGAGACGTGCGACATCTTAGGGGCGCCGCCGCGTCCCTCACAACGACACGACAGACATTGAAATGTCAGAATGCAAATATTGAATTGTTTTAAATATTGATTAAAACAGGCTATAACTTTGACTTATTAGTAAAACAATTGATAAAATCCATGAAATATTGAAAGACTTAAATTTAAATTGCCTACTTGCCGATTCCATTTTGTATATTATTTCGTGTAATCAAAGTATTTGATTATAGCGAACTGCTAATACATTTCCGAAGGAAAAAAACCCGAGGCGTTGCTTTTCAAAGCATTAAAAATAAGGTAATTTTTTAAAAAAGAAAAGAAAGTGCGTTTTTTTTTGCGCGTGCATGTGTGTGTGTGTGTGTGTGTGTGTGTGTGTGTCGGGGTGGATGCGTAGGATCTGGAAGGGAACCTGACAATGTTGACAGATCTGTAGGAGTAATGTGTTGAAAAATGTAGCTGATAGTCTAGAATGTATTATTATTATTATTATTATTATTATTATTATTATTATTATTATTTCATACTTGGACTTTATATAGTCCCCTAGTAAAAAAAAGCGTTAACTCTAATGCAATGCGTGAAGCGACACAGAAAATCATGCCATGGACGACATTTTTTCACCTTTTAAAGGATTTTTTGTTGTCCGTCTGTTATCCAAGTTTAAAGATGTGCCATACATTCTCTATGAGGCTCTGATATGGAGATGTTGCACCTGTGTTTTAAAGTTCGTACGACCCCCAGATTCTGTTATAGCGGGTCAAGCGATTGGAAGTTAAAGCATTGGGCAGTATGCAGGGACAGTTCCAGGATTATTTGAAGAGAGGGGGGGGGGGCTGCGGAAAGACGGGGCTCGGGTGCGAAGCGGGCCATCGACCCCTTGGGTTGGGGTTTGGGGCCTGCTCAAGGGCCCCGAAAAATTTTTGGTGTTTTGGAGTTTAAGAAGTAAGATTCAGCTAGTCAAAATTCTAATTTCAAGAGGGAAATATTGGTGTGATATATTTTCCAGAAACCGAAGAGGTGGGGCCAAGACCCCCTGACCCCCTCCCCCCCCCCC